TTTTTTTTTTTTTTTTTTCTATTTTGCGACAGGGTCTCACCATGCAGCTCACTATGGCCTTGAAGTCACTGTGTTGCCTAGGCTGCACATGACGACCTCACGATGATTCTCCTGCCTCAGCCTCCTGAGTGCTGCACTTACAGGCTTGCACCACCACACCCAGCTTGTCCTTTTCTAAGGAGGTTTGTTTTGGTTTTTTATTTGTTTATTGGTGGAACCGGGGATTGAACTCAGACCCTTGCACTTCCTAGGGAAGTGCTTATTCCACTGAGCCATCTCCCCGGCCCCATTGTTTTGTTTTTTTTAAAGGAGAATTCTTTTGATCTTTAACAGAAATGCTCTTTCATCTAGCAGGCACTAGGGGCTGAGTCAGGGCTTGCGTGGGGCAAATGCTGCCCAAGGGCTGTTCCCCCGGCTGGCACCGAATGTGGCCCTCACTGTGATGCTGGAGACAGTGGAGGCCCTGCCATGGTGTGGCTGTCGCGTGAGTGCTGCCACGCCTCAGTGCGTGGGGATGAGACGGCAGGAAGCAGCTGGCGTTGTGCCAGCAACTGCACCCTGGGTCTGTGTCCTGATGTCCGGTCTTGACAGTTCTGGGCGAAGGAGGACAGAGAAGGGAAGGCTGGGAAGACCCGAGTGGGCCGCAGAGGGTGCGGCCCGGTCGTGAGGCTGCTGGCTGTAGGACTCTGGGTGAGGGCTCTCTTGGCAAGTGGGGGGTTTGTAGGTGACAGTGGTGTGTGACCAAGTCCCGCCGCCCAGGGAGGCCCCGGGCCTCTGCCGCCTGCGCCTGTGGGGTTTGGCAGCACCGCTGCCCTGAACAGATGGGTGACTTTTCACGCCTGCTAGTGGAGTGGCTCAGGCCCGTGGGGTGGGTGTGCCTGCCGACAGCTGTGTGGCACAGCCACGGGGAGGCCCAGGAAGGACAGGTTGGGGTTCTGGGAGCCCCAGGGCTCCTTACAGTGTGGGCTTGGGATTTTCATTGCACGGAGCGGGCAAAGCTGGCACCTGTAAACCCAGAGCGCTGTCAGAGCCCTGAGAGCCAGGTGGCAGGTGGGGTGCGTTCCCTGTCTCGTGCTCCTCGGGTCCAGCCGCCAGCAGGATACAGTGTCGCCTGTGTGCCCACTGAAGGTGTGTGCTAGGGCTGGTGAGATGGCTCAGTGGTCTAAGGCACCTACTTAGAACAAGCTTAGCAAATCACAGGGACCGCGGTTCAATCCCCCAGCACCACATGCCAGCCAGCCCCGCCCCCTGGTGGGCTGAGCTGGCCACACACACAAATAAATAAATAAATAAATAATTGAAGGTGTGTGCTGGTCCTCGGCCCACAGCGGACTTCAGCTTCTGTGGAGCGGGCCCTGCGGGCAAGTGGATGCGTATCCAGGGCTGGACAGCCAAGGTGGGGCTGTGAGAAGGGCTGCCCTCCACCTCACAGCTGCCTGAAGCTGGCCTCTGGATGACCTCTGCCCTCTTGGGAGAGGCCCGCTTGGCAATACCTGGCCTGGTGGTGCCCCCCGCAGTGATGGGACGCAAGGACACAGCGCCCTCCTCCCTCCCTATCTCTGAGGAGCAGCCCGATCCTGTCCCCGGCATGGGTGGGACCATCTTATCTCCCGAGGGTGGCCTGACCACAGAAGCAGGGCACAGATGTGCCGGAGGCGGGAAGAGGCTGCTGGGATTCTTAGGCCAAGTTGTGGGACCTGGCTGCACAGGGGAGGATTTGTCTTGCTTCCTGACGCGTGCAGCAGGGCTACAGGGGTTTCTTAGCTGAACTGGAGTAGGATTCTGTGGCCGCACTTCCCTGGATGGTTGGTGGGTAAGCAGCACGTTGGACCCTCGCCAGGGGGATACCCAAGGTTGGTGGCCCACTGGCTCCTGAGGGTACAGATGTGCTGACTCCCAGAGGCCGGGGACAGCCCTGCCTGGCTGGCCGCGCACGGAGCGCTGTCCCAAGGCCCTAAATGTGCGCACTGTCCTCTTGCCTGGCGCTGTGCACGCAGCTTCTTTCATGCTGGTTTAAGTTTCCTGAAAGTTAGATGCCTTGGCCTGCAGTGTTCAGGCTCCTAGCTCCTGGGCAGGGACCAGCCATTGCCACCGCATGTGGCACCGCATGTGGCCCAGGGCAGCACCTGGGTGTGTGTGCTTGGTGGTTTCTTAAGCTGGTTTCTGATGAGCAGCACCCTCCGGGCTCTTCCTCGTGGCCCAGTTTGCTTTTGTCCTCTGGTGTCACCCTCGTCCACTGGAAGATCACAGTGGCGTTAGACTGTGTGCGTGAGGGGACTGAGGCTGCCCACCAGGGAGAAGCGCGGGGCGCCACTGGTATGCGAGAAAGCTCTTTGAGGGGTGCCGGGAGCTCGAGGAAGTTAGCAGTGGGGTCAGCAGGTTTAGTCTTGCGTGGGAAGTGGTGACGCGCAGCCCCAGCAGCTTCGCTGGCCCAGGGCGCAAGCGCAGGCCTGGAGTCAGGTGGCTGCTTGGGCTTCCCTCCCGCCCCCCGGCTGGGCTGTCCCTTGGCCCTGCGGGTCGCGGTCGCTGCAGTCAGGGTGCGCCCCGCCAGGTCTTACGGCGCCAACTGCTGTGCCTCCCAGCCCACTGTGTGAGCTTCTGAAAATCAGAATGTGACATTTTGTTTTCCATTTTAGTGTAGGAGAGATGATGATGCAGACACGGCTGTCGCTGTTGACAAGGACCATTTCATGGACGACTTCTTCCACCAGGTAGGGGTGTCTCGGGAGGCTGCACCACAGGTGCTCTGCTTTGAACAGGTAGTGAGGTTTTGTAGCAGTGCTGCTGCTGGGTTTGAAATGACACTGAACACATATGGTTGCCACGTGCTGTAGGGCTGCAGGGTGGCCCGTGGGTGGTGCCACCCACGCCCGGCCGCCGTCTGACCATCCAGGCTTGTGCTGTGGTGTTCCGGTGTGCGGCTGCCTTTTAGGACTGTGGGCTGGGTGAGGAAGGCTCTGGGTGTGAGTGCCGTGGGTGCCAGCCCCGAGGCGGGCAGCCTTGGTGGGCGCTGTGGCCTGAGAGGCCGCTGAGGCTGTGGTCTCCCCTGGGAGCCCTGGGCCCAGGCTGGCTGCTGTCACGCTCCCCCGTGCCTGGGCGGGGTGGGCCCCGCAGCTGGGGCTGCTGCCCTGAGGTGCCCCAGCAGCACTGTCTTGTGGGCCAGGGCTCCCGAGGGTGGACTGTGCCACCTTGGGCCTCCCTGCCTCTTGTGGTGCAGAGTCTGGGCTTGGGGCCTCACTCCAGGCAGGTGCAGGGCTCTTCCCTGCGGTGTCCTTGTCATTTCCGTTTCCCGGGGCTGCTCCTTTCCACATGGCTGTAAAGCACACAGCAGCTCTGCAGGCCCGTGCAGCCGCCGTGGGTCTCAGGGTGTCCCGCGCTGTGGGCTTGAGACGCGCGCAGCTGAGTGCTCTGCCGTGGGCAGCTGACGTGGCGGCCTCCTTCCTCCTGCTGAGGCTCCGCTTTTGCTCAGCTGTTGATGTGCAGTTTATTCTGTGAAATGCTGAGTAGAGAAACAAAGATTTGTTCTGATGGACTCAGTTCTAGGGGCTGGCGTTCAGATCTTGAATATTACCCGGATCACTGTGAATAGGGGAGCGTGCTCAAGCCTGAGACAGTGCTCTGGGGAGGGGCGGGGTGAGCTGTTTGTTTGTTTGTCTTTTTGATGCAGGGTTTCACTGTATGGTGCAGGCTGGCCTTGAACTCACTGTGTAACCCAAGCTGGCCTTGAGCTCATGGTGATGCTCCTGCCTCAGTCTCCTGAGTGCTGGGATTACAGGTGTGCACCAGCATGCCCGGTTGGGGTCGCTTTTTGAGACAGAGACCCTTCATCCCTTGGTGCCCCGGAGCCACTTGGGGCTCCTGCTGAGGAGACATCAGCCTTGTGCATGTATGGGGGGTCCCAGGGCCCCCTGCTCACAGCTCTTGAGCCTTCCTGAGGGCCTCGGCAGAGGTGTCCTCAGATGGACACTGACACAGAGCCTGTGCGCAGGCCGAGAGCCTGAGATTGTGGTTACCCTTCACAATGGCAGAGCAGAACCTTGAAGGGCATCAGCTGTGTTATAGTGCCGTGAGTCGACACCCACAGGTTGTGTGTGCTGGCCGGCCTCCAGCACCCCGCTTCCAGCGTGCCCCAGGGCATACCCTAGGGGCTTGGGGTGCTAAGGCGGGGTAAAGAGGGCTGCGTGGTCTGAGCTGTGTTGTGGTCACACTGCAGTGGTGAGGTCTCTTTTCTCTGTGTTCTCTGAGGTCAGGGTGCTGTTCAGATACTTGGATGTGAACCCAGGAGACCGGCGGTGTGGAGACCCCAGACGCTGTGCCTTGTCCTGGCCCCCCGGCCCTCCTGGCCCTCCGGCCATGGCCTCCACGCTGTGTGTATGTTTCCTAGCAGTGGTTCCTTGGTGTCTGGGACCCGCCAGATGATCCAGGGTCACTTCTTGCCTCAGGAGCCCCCTTGTCACCCCGGGGTGACCTCCCCAGGCCTCAGGGTTGGGATAGGGAGCGTCCTGTGATTGTGTTTTAAGCTATGCAAGGGAGGAGGATGGCTGGGCTCTGGCCGGGGGTCTTGTGTCTCTGCTGGGGACACTGAGTGGGTCGGTCCCCCGGTGCCCCAGAGTGTGGCCCGTGCAGGCTCAGTTTTTCTTGCAAAGGAGGCAGTGGCATGCTGTGCGTCAGGGCTTGCTGGGCCCGTGCTCAATACCCCAGTGCTGACTGAAGGTGCCGTGCGTCCAGCCGGGTCGGTGCGTAGAGAGCAGAGGGTTCTGTGGCAGATGCTGGCTAGCTCAGGCCACAGAGAGGCCAAGGCGGAGAATGTGCGGTGTCGGCCATGCCAGCTGCTCTTGGCCCTCGAGTGGCAGCATGACGTGTCCCTGGGCTGCAGGGTGCGTCTCGCTGGCACTATCCCTGGGGAGTCTCGGGCCTGGCGGGGTCACCTGTGCGTCCCGGGAGGTTGTGTGGGCTGACCGATGCCTGCCTGGGTGGGAGTGTGGGCGCGCGTGGTGCAGGCTGCGCTCTGTGCAGAGGCTCCCGCTTGGGCTTTCGTCGCTCGCCGCGGGCCTCTGCGACCTTGCACTTGAGGTCGTGAAGAACCACAGCACGTAGAGCTGGCCACACTCTGGTGGTTGCTGTCTCGCCAGGTGGAGGAGATCAGAAGCAGCACCGCCAAGATAGCGCAGTACGTGGAGGATGTGAGGAAGAACCACAGCATCATCCTGTCGGCACCAAACCCCGAAGGAAGTAAGCAGCCGTCGCGGGTGGTCAGTGTGTGTGTGGAGCTCCCCATCCATCCGTGTCTGTGTGCCCGGTTCCCAGTTCTCTGCCGTGGACAGTGCAGGTCTCAGCCCTTGCTTCCCACCACCAGAGTGGGAGCTCACAGACGCGCTGCCCGGGCAGCCCTCCCACCAGGCTCCTGAGCAGCCCCAGTGCACAGCTGCGGCGCGTGTGAGCGTCACGCTGAGCACACGCTGGTGACTGCAGAAGCTGGGGCCTGCGGGGTCTGGCCTGGGGTCCTGTTGTCAGAGAGCTCTGTGCAGTGGGCGGCCACACGAGAGCGGCGTGAGGCTGCTCCAGAGGAGCTGTGGGAGCATCTGAGCGAGCCACACGTGCCACATGTGTGCGCCACATGTGCCGGTGAAGAGTGAGCGCCTGTGCCGGGCAGTGCCTGCGGAGAGCTTTGTGGGCTGTGGAGCCCGGAGCCGGCCAGCCCGCCGGAGCCCACGCACGTTTTCAGGAGCTGGGGAGCACTGTCTCCTTTCTTCCCGGCAGGCGATGTGTCCCTGTTGATGAGAGCAGCCTCTGCGTTTTCTGTTGCCTTGTTGGGAGCAGCCCGCTAATGCTACGTGTGGTCCTCCCCTTCTCCCGAGTGACGCTGCTCGTTTCTCCCTAGATCTGTTGGATTCCTTTCTCTGGGTAGTGAGGTTTCCCTCTCGCTCTTTTGGGGCGTTCTTCCTTGTCTTGCTTTTGCCTTTTGGGGAAAGGCCTCCCTGTGGAGTGTAGGCTGGCCTAGGACTCGCAACAGTCTTCCCGCCTCGCCTCCCCACTGCTGGGTTGAGAGGCGTGCCCACCCAGCCCGGCCGTTCTTCCTGCTCATTCTTGGCTGACCCAGTTCACCGAGCCCAGCCCTGTGCTGGGCGGGCAGAGGCAGAGGTGGGTGCTCACGCTCAGCCTCGGAGGAAGGCGTGAGGCCAAGCCCCTGTGTCTTGTGTGCTGAAGAAACACACACCTGGCCTTCAGGCGCAGAAGGGTGCACCACGCTGCTAACCTGGTGTGCACCTGGCGTGTACCTGGTGTGCACCTGGTGTGCACCTGGTGTGCACCTGGTGTGTAGGAGGATGCCCCTCGCCCGCTCGAGGCCTGCTCTGACGCAGAGCCGTGTCACAGCCGGAGCGCTGGCCTGTGTCCAGGGCCTTCTCTGGCCAGCCCACCCTGGCCCTGCCTTCAGGGGTGTCCTTGTGTCCCTTGAGGGGTGGTGGTCCTGTGGCCCTTGAAGCCCCATGGAGAGGACACCACTGAACCTGTCGAGTGCAGTGTTCAGAAATGTGTTCATCCCCTAGCCGGCATTTTTCGTAATGTCTTCACTCCTAGGAAAATGGAATGGGGTAAAAGACGAGTGTTCTTTCCTCTGAGGAGTCTGTGTCCAGAGCGTTGCTCCGCCTCGCCGGTGCGGCTGCGCCTGCCGCCTGGTGCGCTGCAGGCTGTTAGCGCCTCACGGCAGCCTGCAGACCTGGAGGGCAGCTGCTGCTCCTGGCTGAGGCGCGGAGCAGGAAGAGGGTCTAGCTGCCCCGCCGCTGCTCTCTGCCTGGGGTGCCTAGGAGAAGGTGCCTGGGACAGGGCTGGCCCCCCCCCCCCCGCCCGCCCAAAGAAACAAGTGGCCCTGCTTGGGCCATGGCACAGGAGGGCCAGGGGCCGCGAGCATCCGGCCTCCTGCAGGGCCCTGTGCTCTGCCCACAGCAGGCTTTGCACGTGGTTTCTGTGCTTGCTGGGGGTGACACTTGCTGAGGTCCTGGGGTTGGTGTTCCCTGTGTTGGTCCTGGAAGCTGCGAGGCACGCTGGCTGCAGATGGGCCTCCCCAGTACTGCCTTGCCCTACGGAGTGGTTCAGCCGCCTCCTGTACCTTCCGGCCTCTGGGCTCCAGGGCGTCCTCCAGCCCTGGCCCGGGTTCTAGGAGACACTGAGACCTCCAGGGAGCTGCTTACCCGGCAGCACTGGGTAGGCCTCGCGTGTGGCTCCTCCCTAGTGCCCCTGGCCACAGCTCCGCTTGGCTGCCCCATTCTTTGCTCAGAAGCTGCAGAGCCTCCATGTGCAGCGGGTGTAGCTGCCCCGCGGGCCCTGATCCCCCTGGGCAGCCCAGGGCTCCATTTCATCTCCTGTGGCCGTGAGGCTCCCTGTGCTCCGAGGTCAGACTGCTGGGCCCTGGAGGACACTGTGCGGTTGCTCCTCAGTGACTGTGGGTGACCTTTCCCTGGATAGTGGCCCAGACCTTGAGCAGCTCTAGCGCTGAGAGAGCAGCACAGATGTCGGGGGGCCTGGCCGCTTGGGGCACGCGCGGTGGGCCCTGCCTCAGGGACAGGCACGACGGGGCTTGGTGCTGTCTCGCTGAGCACCGCTGTGAGCTGACGATGGGCAGAGCCGCGTGCGGCCGGGGCCCTGCAGGGCTGTGGGCAGCCCCAAGGCCTGCCGTGGGCGCCTGGGCGGCCGTGGAGACCGCCCTCCTGCTGATGCTGGCGGGCGGGCCGTGCTAAGGCCGAGCGCTGTGGCTCAGATGCCTCATTTTGAATTTTTAAAGAAATCAAAGAAGAACTCGAAGACCTGAACAAAGAAATCAAGAAAACTGCTAACAAAATTCGGGCCAAGCTCAAGTGTAAGTTTAAAGTTTGATTATCCAGGGTGGGAATATGGGTAGTTATGACTTCTTTCTTTTTCGTATTTTATTCTCTTGCATTTTCAAAAGTTGTGGCCATCTTAGAGCAGGCTGTCTGTGTGTTTGGAAGGGCTACTGCGTATCCAACAAGGGGAGGCATTGCTTGTTGGCTTCCTGGCTTTCAAGTCACTTTGCATAACTCTCGTTTGTATTATTTCAGCATTAGGTAATCGGATCCGTAGTTAAGTTTGTTCACTTCTGGTTTTCTCCTTCCTTCCTTCCCTTCTTTCTTCCTTCTCTCTTTGCCTCCCTCCCTCCCATTTTTTGAGACAGGATCTACCTGTGTAGCTTTCACCTCACTATGTAGCTCAGGCTGCCTCCAATTTTGGGGATCCTCATGCTAGCTTTGTGAGCGCTAGGATTACGGGCATGTGCCTCCTTGTCTAGGTTTTTTTAATTTCAGAAATCACTATATTTACTTATGTTTGCAGTGGGGTCTCGTGCTGTTGCCTAGGCCGGCTTTTGGCTTGAGAGAGCCTCCTGTCTCAGCTCTTAAACGCTGGGACTGCAGGTGTGCTCCACTGTGTATGGTGAGAGGTTGCTTTTGCTGTCATTTAGAACTGCTTTACAGGCCTGGGGAGATAGCTCAGTGATCTAAGCACCTGCCTGGGAAGCCCAAGGACCTGAGTTCGATCCCTGGTACCACATGCCTTGCCGGCCCCGGAACTGTGGTGTACCATGCCAGCCACTGAGACCAGGCGTGGTGGTGCACACCTGTAATCCCAGTGCTGGGGAGGCTGAGACAGGAGGATCACTATGGGACAAGCTGAGTAGTGAGGCCCTGTACCAATTAAACAAAAAAGATTTGAAAAACAATCTTAAAACAAAACGCAAGTGCCTTATGGCCGTGTGAGGTGCTGTGCCATTCTCGAGTCACGGCGGTCGGGGAGGACGGAGGGAAGGGGTCTGCCTTCTCCCTAGCCTGTCCCCACTTCACGTCCCTGTGCTCTCCATGGCCTCTACCTCAGCAGTCCGTGAGTGAGCATGCGTGTGTGCGCATGTTGGTCACAGTAGAGACAGCTCCCTGCAGCGTGCCCTGGGGACCATGTCCAGAGGTGCCTGGCTCGTGTCCGAGGAGGTGCGCTTTGAAGATAGCGAAGAGAGCAGGGTGAGGCCTGCCGGGCACACTCACGCTCTGCCCGGAGCTCACTCTGTCCTGTTTCCTTCCAGCCATCGAGCAGAGCTTCAGTCAGGATGACAGCGGGAGCTGGACCTCCGTGGACCTTCGCATCCGCAGGACCCAGGTCTGGCTCTGAGCCTCTGTCAGCAGAAGTGACGCGGGGAGCGGGGCTCGCCTTCCTTCCGACCTGGCGTGGCTACCTGTGTGGCTGGTGCATGCTCTGAATGCCCCCCCCCCAGCGGAGTCCTGGGTCCTGTCTGTGCCGGGTGCAGAGTGCGGGGTGGTAGAGAGGCGCTCAGGGCCTGCGTCACAGAGGTCGCTGTGAGCTGAAAGCTGGCGAGCCAGGGCTTCTGCGGCGTGCGGGTGTGGGCTGCCAGGCACCGCCGTGGGAACCATGCGGAGGTTCCTCGGAAACCTGACAGTAGGCCTTCCGCTCCAGCCATCTGCTCCTCTTCCCGGCCTCTTCCCGAGAGGTTAGGGAGGTCGTAGGCCTGGCCTCCCACACCTTGGTGACAGCAGTACAGCCCCTTCCAGTTAGATGTGGGAAGCGGCCTCTGCCTGGTCAGCGGGTGGGGAGATGCGGAGGCAAGATGGGCGAGAGCGGCGGGTACTACCCAGCCAGGAAAAGGGCAGATTCGGGGCATTTGGAGGGAAACGGTGTGCACTGGGACCATGATAACTCCAGGCAAATAAGTCAGACACAAAATGTCACATGGTTTCTCTTATTTAAGAAACCCAATGTGTAAGTAATTTAAAGAACAAAATGAAAGACAACATGAGGGCCGGGAGACGGCTCGGTAGAATAAGCGCTTCCCTGGCAAGCACAAGGACCTGGGTTTAATCCTCGGTTTCGCAAAAAAAAAAAAGACATCATGAAATAGGGAGACATATCTGTGAGAGGGACCTGGAGTTGGAGGGGAGCTGGGGAGGGGTGTGGGTGCCGGGTCCCCACAGCGTCACGCAGCGCAAACGAGGGCTGACAACGGACAGGAAAGCACCAGCATGCGTGCCTGGCTTGGGCACGCTTGGGCACTCCAGTGCACACACGCACGGGTTGGCTGGCCGCAGCGGCCGCGCCCTGCACCTCCTGTCTCCAGGGCGTCCAGGGCTGGGTGCAGACCCTGACCCTGTGCGTACGCTGCCTCTCACGGGCACACTCTGCCCCGGGCCATGATGACCCTGCCTGCGACCCTCCTGCTGCCAGGGCAGGCCCCCCGTGGCATGCTTCGCACAGCTTCTGCCCCCACGAGTCCTGCTCTTCCTGCTGGGGTGCCTGGACGCCAGCATGCCACACACTGAGGTCAGGGAGCAGCGCCTGTCCTCAGATCCCGCTCTGCCCACCTGCAGCATTCCGTGCTGTCCCGGAAGTTCGTGGAGGTCATGACAGAGTACAACGAGGCGCAGACTCTGTTTCGGGAGCGGAGCAAAGGGCGGATACAGCGCCAGCTTGAGATCAGTAAGTCCGGGGTGCGGTGGGGAGCGTTGTCCTCCTTCCTCAGCGCTGACGTCACCAGCTGTCGCCAGCATTTACACATGGGACTTCTCCTGGCTTCCTTGTCTGGGAACCAAGCAAACCTAGTATTTGTTTACAACACCCAAGAATTCTTTGTTGCCTGTTGGATTTTTGGGGCAGGGTTTGGTCTTGGATCCACTATGTAGCCCAGGCTGGCCTTGAACTCACAGCGGTCCTCCTGCCTCAGCCTCCTGAGTGCTAGGGTTACAGGCCTATGTCACTGTGCGAGGCCTCAGAAGTTCCAGGTGAGGGGCTTTAAGTTACTTTCCAACTTCCAGCACTTGCAGCAGTTCAGAGGGATTGGAAAAGCTTCCCATGACCGTGTGTGCCAGTCCCTCCATCTGGGCACCTGGCCTGGTGACGGTGTGTCCTGTGGCATGGTCGGCGTCCCCTTCACCCCTCAGCCGACACCTGTGCAAGCCTGTGGGAGCTGCCGTGCGTGATGGCTGCTGCTCGTCTGCTGGGTGCTGGGCCCTGTGCTCCCCTCACACCTACCCCGGCAGCCAGGGCCAGTGGGGACTGTGGTGGCTGGCCAGGCATCCCTGGCTCCCATGAGTGTGTGTTGTCCGCAGCTGGAAGGAACACCACAGACGCGGAGCTGGAGGAGATGCTGGAAAGCGGGAAGCCGTCCATTTTCATCTCGGACGTGAGTAGTCCACCCCCTCGCCCATCCTGGCACCTCTGCGCTGCCTGCCCACCCTCACGGGTCCCTCCTGTATCTCTCAAAGATCATCTCGGACTCTCACATCACCAGACAAGCGCTCAACGAGATCGAGTCGCGCCACAAGGACATCCTGAAGCTGGAGACCAGCATCCGGGAGCTGCACGAGATGTTCATGGACATGGCCATGTTTGTGGAGACGCAGGTGAGCTGGGCGCTGCAGCGGCGGGGCCTCCTGTTACTGAGCCGGGGTTGTTCACAGCCACGGACGCCCTGGCTCTGCCTTCTTGGGGAGCTTTCAGTGGAATGCACTGGAAGGTTAGGCAGTGGCAGGAGACAGGAGCATCACACGGTGCACTGCACGTGTGAGCCTGAGCGTAGACACGTGGCAGGAGCCCAGCCGTGGAGCATAGTGTTCCCAGAGGAAGGGTGCCCAGCGCAGGTCAGGACCGTGGCCCACGGGAGCGCGGTGCTCTGGGCAGTGTAAGCTTCCTCCGGGAGCAGCAGCAGCAGCCGCTGTCGCTGGACAAGGGCTGAGACTTCAGGCTGCCAGAGCTGCAGCTGCCCCCTCTGTGCTGTGCGCTCTGCCCTGTCCCCGCTGCCTAGTGCACAGGCTGGGTGAGCAGGACTCAGCCGTCCTGGGCTGGAGTCCATCCCGCTGATGTCTGTGGCCAGAAGCACCAGCTGGTGCCATCCCCTCATGGTGTGGAGCCCCCCAGGTTTCCTGAGGGTGGCACTGACCTCCCACACTGGCCTGGGTGCTGCCGGCCAGGGCTCGCCCCAAGGAGGACACAGCTGACGGAAGTGCCGCCGGAACCCCATGCAGAGCTTGGGGCTGCCCTAGCCAGGGACTCTGTGCCTGGGCATGCAGGTGGCCAGATACACTGCTGCTCCAGGCATGTGCAGGGCGGGCCTGGGGCAGTCGGGCGGGCCTGGGGCGGTCGGGCGGGCCTGGGGCGGTCGGGCGGGCCTGGGGCAGTCGTGGCTTACCTCTGGGAGGCAGCGGGGAGCCAGTCACACAGGTAGAGCCCTGCTGTCTGTTCACGTCAAGGGTGTCGTGGCGGTAGCCTGGCACCCCCTCTGGGGCCTCTGAGAAGTCTGCCTGTGCAGACGGGCTTGGTTGGGCCAACCTCCATGCCTGTCAGTCACCTGTCCGTCCTTCTTTACTGCCTTCCTCTTTGCTGCCACAGACCTTGTCTCCCAGTGGACAGGACCCAGGTAAAGTGCCACGCGCTGCTCCGTGGGTCCGCAGAGGCCCGCCGCCTCGCCCCTGCTCCTCCGTGGGCAGCAGATAGCAGCTGCACTGGGGTTACTGCCGCCCAAAGCGTAGTAGTGGTTTGCTCAGTACAAGAGCTGCCATCCTTTGCATGGAATGTTTTGCGTGGTCGTGAAACATTTGCGAACCCAGCGCTGGCTGCCCCCGTCCCCGGCGCTTGCCGGGTGGCGCCGCGGTAGAGTGTGTCTCCAGCCGCCGTCCTCCGTGTCCTGTTCCGGCGCAGCTTCCGTCTCCATTGTGTGGTGTTGGCACGTTGACCTTGGTCTCACCGTTCACCTCGCTGCTCCGTCTCCATGACACGCACATCCTGTCTGCATAGAGACCGTCCCGTGGTTGGTGGGGACCCGTCCTGCGAGGCAGCCTCTCAGGGTGGCCCTTCTTGCTTTTAGGGTGAGATGATCAACAACATAGAGAAAAACGTCATGAACGCCACGGAGTATGTGGAGCACGCCAAGGAGGAGACTAAGAAAGCCGTCAGATACCAGAGCAAGGCCAGGAGGGTGAGTGGCGCGGACCGCAGCATGCTTTCTCTCCCTGTGGGTGCCAGTCCTTAGACACCAGTGAGCCCCTGCGGGAAGCCTAGCCGGAAGTAGATGTCCCTTCAATAAATGCTCTGCCTCAAAGCTGAAGCAGTTCTTTTTGCTCACCATTTTGGAAGTTTGAGGCAGCTAGGTGAGTTCTTGTGTGTTCTCAGTCATGGGAGCCGCACCTCTTGCATTGTTTCTGGGTCATTTGGTTGGGGAAGGCATGAGCCGTGGCCTCTGACGCCTCCTAGAAGTCACTGGTCCCAAGTTTGGTGTTGTGTGCGCGTCTGCTGCTCCCTGCCCTGGAGGGCAGGAGCGTCCCTGAGCTGGACCTGCCGCCTACACGGTGCCACCTGCTGCCTTTGCCCAGGTGGCTCTGTGGCTCCTGGGGTGGTCAAGCCTTGCGTCCAGGCCTGGACCAACCTGTAGAGCTTCTCTGCCAACTCCGGCTGGGCTATGGCGCCTCTGACCCTGGTGCTAGGGGCACGGTACCATTTCTACCTGAGGCGTACCACACATGAACCGAATGCTCTCCTGAGAAGACCACGGAACTGCACAGCCACGTTCCCACCTGGCAAGAGAATGGTGAGTGACTTCCGAGATCTCTGAAAGACTCGCTGTAAGCTGGAGGTGGTAGTGTTTGCTGTGAGCCCTGCACACAGGAGGCTGAGGCAGGAGGATGGCAAGTCTGAGCCCAGCCTGGACAACTTAACAACTTAATGAGAACACATTTCAAACCAGAGAGTGAGTGAGGACTGGAACTGCGGATATATCAGGGCGAAGGCCCTGGGTTCAACTGCCAGGGCCAGAAAACTGGAGGGAAACCAGAGAAAGACAGAGGCACCCATCCCAGGTACCAGTCTCTGCTTGGAGGGCATGTCACCTTCCTGTCAGGGCCACTTCTGGTGCTGAGCGCAGAGCCTGTTGCCCAGGGTCAGCGAGGTGGAGAGCCAGCTGTGCATGTAGGTGTGCGGCGGAGGCGGTGCACGTGGCCTGCCGTGCCTGTGTGTGTCTGACCTGCGCACACTGTGTGCTGACAGCTGGCCCTCCATGTGGTCACCCTTCCAGGCAGTAAGGTCACCCTTCCACTTCCTTGCACTGGGACACACCAGTGTGTTGGTTTCCAGAGAGCAGGACACACTGACGGCCTGGCTGTGGGCCGGGCCCTCCTGCCTCTCGGTGAAGAGCCTGGTCCCCCTCCTGCTCTGCTGTACGCCCCGCCCTGCTCCGGCCCTCCTGGGATCCCAGGTCCGCCCTGGGAGCTGCTGGCCCTGGAAGCTGGGCAGTGTCCAAGCATGGACTCCTCTGGTGGGTAGCTGGGCAGGATGGGAATGCTGGCCCGAAGTAGATGAAAATAGAGGCAGGAGGAGTCTGTCGTGGCCGCCGAGCGGAGCACAGGAGAGAAGGCTGTGGAGGGAGCGTGTCCGGTGCCCAGGACCCTGGTGCAGGCTATTTACCCGAGGGAAGATGGCAACTGCGCACCAGCCGCTGTGTCACCAGGAAAGACTCTGCCATCCACTGGGAGAGGACACAGAACAAGGGACATCTTGGTGGCCAGGCTGTCGGTGACACTGAAAACGAGCAAGTGTGAGAGGGCACCGGTGGACCTTGGGCCTTGAGAAGCTGGAGACAGGCGCAACCCTGATTAGGGACCAGGGACTGAATGCCCAGAAGACCGCAGCTGGGTCAGGTGCAGCTGGGGCTTCTCAGCCTGAGCCAAGGGGAGAGGTGCCCAGACCAGCCCTGCCACAGCCCTCCTAAGCACCGAGAGTGCACACCCTCGGGACACCCGCCTGCAACCACTGTCCATGCGTGGAGCCTCCCACACACCTGCAGGGGCTGCAGAACCAGGCGTGGCCCAGGGCAGTGGAGGGGGCGTCCCAGCCTGAGATTCCACAGCACAACCTCAGGAAGGAGAATGAATCCAGGGGATGCTGAGGCAGGTGGGGAGCGGGGCTCCGGGAGGCCCGCAGGAGCATGGTGGCGCTGGGTTCTGGCACCAGAGGCCTCTGCGCAGTGTCACTCCATTACTTGGGCCTCTCTGGGAGCTACACACTGTGAGGTGAGCAGGCGAACCGTGGGCCCAGTGAGGGGAGCCGGAGCAGGGAGAGCTGGGCCAGCACCCGCCCAGGGCCCAGGACAGGGCCTCACCTGCCTGCAGGTTGCTGCAGTGCACGTGCTCAGTGCTGAGCAGGTCTGTCAGGAAGCTTCGTGGCCTGTGCCACGCGGGCTGTCCCGTCTCTCTCCTCTTGGTTCCTGCATGTTTCTTACCCCCTTCTGCATGCATCTAGGCAGATTTGCACAGAGAAGTGTCTGCATGTGCAGAGGAGGGTGGGAGGCAAGCAGCGGCCCACACAGTGCCGCCCCAGACGGCCTCCATGGCCCTCTGCCTGGCAGACTGTCTCCCAGCCACTCTGCTCTGGCCGCAGGAGAAACTCCGGGGTGGCTGTGGTCTCCCTCGCTGCTGGTTCTCTTCCTCCTACTCTGATTGACTTGACCCTTTCCCTCTTCCTTTCCCCTCCTGTCTTCCCCATGAGGAACAGTGTGTGCATTTTTCTGTGTGAGTCACTGAGGTGCAGGGGAGCTCTGGGGACGGGATGGGCAGGGTGGGTGTGCCGTGGGCTCTGTGGGCCAGAGGCAACACCACGAAAGAGGTCACCAAAGGCCGCCAGAGCCAAGATGGCAGCACTGTGAAGCTCACACTGATAGGGGAGCCCCCACCCAGCAGCAGCCTCCTCGCTCTGATCAGCCCTCTACGCTCGGCGCATACCCCCACGACCCCCCCCCCCACGTGTGTCAGTGGACATGTGGAGAGGAAGGCAAGGCGCTGCCTCCAGAAGCCTCCCCGCCCCCAGAGCTGGTCCAGTGGGCACCAGTCAGGAGGAAGAAAAGCCGCATGGCTAAATTACACAAAGAGATATGGAAGCAGCAGGACTCAAATTCAAAACACCAGAAACATAAGTAAACCAAAAAGCAGATCACCCTGGTGTTCTATGAGCTCAGAGCTGGTGTAACTAAACAGATGATGGGCCTAAAAGCATCAGTGAACTCAGTGGAGACGTAAACACCAAGCGGGTGGGGCTGGGGAGATAGCTCAGTAGAATAAGCGCTGCCTGGCAAGCGCAGGGTCTTGAGTTTAATCCCTGGTACTGAAAAAATCAAAAAACCCCACCAAGCTGGATGAGCTAAGCAAAACAGTTAAGGCCCGGTTAACCCTTTTATTTTATTTTATTTTATTTTATTTTTTTTTTGCGGAACTGGGGATTGAACTCAGGCCTTTGCGCTTGCCAGGGAAGCACTTATTCCACTGAGCCATCTCCCGGCCCCTTGGTTAACCCTTCTAGCAAAGACTCCATGAGAAGGTACTGGGCAGAGTCCAAGATGTAGAAACTGTATCGAGGGCCTGGCAGCAGGGCGAGGCAGTCAGAGCAGTGGAGGGCACTGCGGGTGGCCACGAGCTCCGAGACACCCAGACCCAAGTGCATCGTGGGAGAGGGACCTACAGCTGCGGGTATGCAAAGGAGACGAACCTCAGACCCTCTGCAAGTAGGAGCTGGAAGAAACGTGAGTGGCCAGGAAGTCTGTGGAAGTGCGAAAAATGGCCCATCTGGGGCAGGAATTGAGTGTGCAGGCAAGCAAGGGCCGAGAGCCCCAGTTCGCCACAGCTTGGGGAGCCCCTCAGGCCTCCTCAGTCAGAATCCTCATGACAATGCGGGAGAGGTGAAAAGCTGTGAAGAAAAAGCAAATCACTTAGAGAACGAAGCTGTTACAAGCACTGAGGGCGTCTCAGCTCAGACCCCAGAGGCCGCGAGAACTACCCGGGAGGGAAGTTCTTCAAGCTCCAAAGAAACGCAGTGTGTCCCACAAACCACCCTCGAGAATCGGTGGAGAGCTGAGGCCTTCCGTGCAGAGCGCACCTTCAGAAACTCGTGACAGCCAGACAGGCCTTACAGAGAAGGGGCAATGTGGCCTGGTGCACGCCGGCAATCCCAGCACACGGGAGGCTGACTCAGGAGGAGGTGCAGGTTCGAGACCAGCCTGAGCCACAAAGTGAGCTCAGGGCCAGTCTGAGCTGCATAGTGAGATCCTGTCTCAAAATGACTAAATAAATGAACAAATTAAGGGTCTTCCCAGCTCCTGCCCTCGGTTCTTGCCATGTCTTCAGGGTTAATAAAAGCTCTTTCTCTTAAAAAAAAGGAAAAGAAAGCTGAAGGCTTTGCCCTCACTGCACTAGGCCGTAAAATTTGCTTAAGAAAAATACAAAAGCATGCCCGCCCACTTACCCTCGACAGAGATGCCAAGCTCTTTTACTGGGAGAAGGACAGCCTGTTTAGTAAACGGTCCCAGAAAAGCTGGTTTTGTGTGTGCCGAAGGCTGGAGCTAGGCCCGTGCTTTCCACCCTGCGCTAGTCTTTGTTGATCACAAAGAGTCAACAGCCAGATCTCTGCTCACCAAAAAGCTTTAACTCAGCGAGAGAAATCACCAACATAGTGAAGAGACAACTCTTAAGACGCGAACATGTGCCCTTCTGACGCAGGGCTACTGTTGAGCATGTGTGAAGAACTCAAAGGGCACCTCCTGAATCCAAAAATGGGCATCTAGGGGCCGGGGAGATGGCTCAGTAGGATAAGCGCTTGACTGGCAAACACTGGATCTGAGTTCAGTCCCCGGTTCTGCAAAAAAAAAAAAACCCAAAAAACCAAAAATGGGCATCTGGGGTGACTACATCTCAGATGAAGAAACAGAAATGGCAAATAAATAAGATATGAAAAAAAGTTTGCTATTGCTGGGCATTCGAGAGGTGCCCATTGAAACAGTGCTGAGATTCCACTGCATCCCGGAAGGGGTGACCATCGAGACATGGAGCAGCACCAAATGCTGGTGGCGCTGCGGGGGAAGGGAAGCCCTCGCCACCATCGATGGGGGTGTAGGCTGGCGCAGCCGCCGTGGACATGGGTGGGGTGTAGGCCAGCACAACTGCCGTGGACATGGGTGGGGTGTAGGCCGGCACAGCCACGTGGACATGGGTGTGGAAGCTCTCCACTGTTGCTTGGGGTGTAGGCTGGTGCAGCTGCTGTGGAAATGATGTGGAGACTCCTCAGAAAACGAAAACTAGTATGATCCAGCTGTGCCTCTTACTGGGATCGTGCTAAAAGAATTGAAAACCTCGTACCATGCTGGCACGCACACCCATGCGCAAGTAGGAGGCAGATCTTGGAAAGAGTCCCGGTGCCCGTGGGGGAGGTGCGCAAAGAAGACTTGCTTTTCTTTGGAGCACTTCTCTGCCATAAAGAAGGACACGCCTGAGGTGTTTCTAGGTAAGTGGATGCACTTTGAGACTGTACTCAAGTGAAGTAAATTGGACGCATGCACATAAATGCCACAAAGTCTCTCAGCGGGAGAAACCAGAAGTGTAAAGAAGGACCAAAGGCTAATAGATGCTGGGAAACAGGAAGAAAGTGTGCAAGTGCGGAGGGGACACAACAGGGCAGAGCAAGGGGTGCAGCAAGGGAAAGTGAGAAGGGAGGGAAGAAGGGAAACACGCAACAGAGCTTTCGTGAGTGGGAGGGGAGAGGGCTGCAGGGAGGGGAGGAGACAGGGAGAAGAGTCGCACTGTGTACAGGCCCTTAGGGTGTAGGTGGTCACTATGTATGTCGAAAATGCACATAAAACCTGAAAAAAACATACAGAAGTGCAGTGGAACTAGAGATCGAGTAGGAGCAACCACAGAAGTCACGTCAATGTGGAGATCAAACACAGCAGCATGTGACCAGCGTGTCACTTGAAGTCGAGCAGTTCCGAGACTCAGGTGCCAGGCTGTGTTGCGTTCCGGAGCCGCGGGGAGGGGGCACGGGGAAGTCGCCTCTTAAGTGGGAGGCGGTGTGTGGGCGGGGCTGTGTCAGAACAGAGCCATCCCGGCTAGAAAGACCGAGTGGATCAAAGCCCAGACATTACAACAGGCATTGGAGGGTGATGCAGTAGGCGGCACTCTTGAAGGCACAGACAGAGGCGGACTCCTGCACGGCCCGGCTGCGTGAGAAGTGACGGAGCAGCAGCAGGGCTGCGTCACGGGCTGTCCACACCGGCCTGCGCAGCGCTCGGCAGGTGGCTGCAAGCCTCTGGTCCTTGTAGTGAGTAAATTTGATAAGATTGTTCTTGTATTTTCTGTTATGATACAAAAATAATGAAAAAAATACAGGTTTTGGTCATCCTGTATTTAAATAATTTGTACGGCTAAGTGATTACAAAGCTTCTACACGACAACAGCAGACTGAAGGGGCGACCTGCAGAACGGAAACAGCTTGCAAACAGTCCCTCAGACTAGGGACTAGTATCTAGGATTTTCAAAGAATTAACGAAAACTGGACCTCCTGCTGGTGTGGTGTGGTGCACGCCTGTGATCCCAGCCCTCGGGAGGCTGAGGCAGGAGGGCCGCTGCACGTTCAGGCCAGCCTGCGCGACAGAGGGAGCTCTAGGTCAGCTGCGTCTCCACAGTGAAACCTTGTCTCAGACAGCAGCAGCAGCACGTAGAGCTCCCAGGATTAAAGGCCTTATCAAAGATGGGCGGCTGGACAGGACAGACACCGCTCAGATGTAGTACCAATAGCCAGTCCATGCAAGAAAAGTGCTCAGCCCCAGCGGCCATTAGCGAAACGCAAATGACAACACGGAGAGTCCATCCGAGATGGTTTGCGTCTAGATGTCCCCTGCCAGCCCTCATGTGGCCAGAGGTGGGGCTCTGCGGGGCAGCTGGGTCTAGTGTGTGTGACACTGCCATGGAAGGTGTGCTGCTGGGGTGAATTACGGGGAGGTGCTCCGTTGGGGTGCCTCACCCTGGGCGAGGGCGCTGCCCGCCTGAAGGGCGAGTTGCGTGGACGGAGCGTGAGGGACAGGAAGGACTGCTGTGACCCTTGCTGCTTGCTGCCTCCTGCCCGCCGCGCCCCCCCCCCGCCCTGGACTGTCCCTCCCTGTGATGCCCCTCTGCCCCCCCAGACTGTCCCTCCCTGTGATGCCCCTCTGCCATGCCAGCCTGCCTTGGAGCCAGCCAACTGTGAACTGAAATCTCTGTGAACTGTGAGCTAAATAAACCTTTCCACGTTTCATTTGGGGTCTTGGGTATTTTGTTTTGGCAATGAGAAGAGTAAGATGCCCGCTCCCGAAGAATGCCTACCACCAAGAAACCAAATAGTAAATCAAGGTGAGGCTGCAGAGAGGACAAATCCTCTATACTGGCGGCAGGAATGCCAACCGTGTGCCCCCTGTGGAGATCCCTGTGGGGACTCAGAAACCTCCAGCTAGAAATGCCATCGACCCAGTCACTCCCCTTCAGGTGTCTTTCTGAGAGTTCCAGCCACCCACCCACACCCAAGTTTGTAGCAGCACCGCTCAGTGGCCTGTGTGCCCACCCACATATAAAAATCCATTTCTGTAAGGTACAAGTTTGTGTCAACGGTAGAGGGCAGGCACCTAGAGACCCTAACTAGTGAGGTAAATCAGACCCACAGGCTCAGCTTTCTCTTGTGTAGGGGAGAAAGCCTAAGTGGAAACAATTGCTGAGCAAATAAAGATTAGATCACAGGAAGGGGGACTCTTGCCGAGGAGGAGGGGCCGCATAGGATTCGCGAGGTGCGTGCCACCTCCGCAGGCGCATTGGGTGCGGGCTGGCGCCTGACTCCGTCTTCATGCTGAGTAGGAGTTACGGGGCCTCTGCCTTCCCAGTGCAGCGTCCTGCGCCCGCCTTGTGCACCAGGAACTTTGAGGGCCAAGGCAGAGGCCCAGGGAAAGGCAGGGGTGGCTCCGCGCCGCCCGCCCGGGTCCAGCCGCCTGTCCCCCAGCCTTCCGGCTCAGACCCCAGCCACTCCTGACACTCGAGGTGAGCCCGGGCTCAGCGGCTGCCCTGCGGCCTGGGTTGGAGGCGGAGAGGCTGTGTGTGACTTGTTTCTGGTCGTGGATGTCTCTCACGAGGTATAATCAACTCGCTTTTCTTTGACAGAAAAAGTGGATAATTGTGGCCGTGTCGGTGGTGCTGGTGGCTGTGCTGGCTCTGATCATCGGCTTGTCGGTTGGCAAATGAGGGTGTGGATGGCGCTGGATGCTTGCCTGTCTGCCAGGGTGGCAGTAAGTAGCTAACCGACTAACTTCCTAGCTAGCTTTCGCAGTTGGCCGCTCATGTTTTCCTGGCTTCAATATTCTTAAAAATCATAAAAGCCCGTCTGCTGAGCGCTGCGTCTGCTCTCTGCCGCGCCTGCCCCCGCGGGGCACAGCAGCCTGCCGAGCTAACTCTGCCCCGCTGCAGCTGGCGCCGCACGCCGTCGCTTCTAGAACTGTCGCAGCAGCTGCAGCTGCTCCGCACGATGCGCCGGCGCGTGGAGGGCGCAGAGCCCGTGGAGGCCCAGCGGGAAGCAGAGCCCTGCTCTGCTCAGTCTCCGCTGTGAGGAGCGCCAGCACCGATCGCATGCGGCTCACACCCCGCCTCCAGAGCTGTCCCCGTGAGCCCCTCCCCGGTGGGGGCGCCCCGTGATAGAGCCGCGCTCGCTCGCTCGCTCGTGCAGCAAGGCGGGGCGGGCTGCGGGCTGGGCTCCTGGCCGCCGCCGACCACGGCAGCCGCCGCGCAGGCCTTCCACTGCCCCCCTCAGCCTCCGCAGCTGCTGGGATCACAGGCAGGGTTCTTGCTGCACGAGGGCGCCGTGTCGCGCTCCGAGCAGACGTCCTTGGTGGTTTCTCACCACGCAGGCCGAAAGCCCGCCCGCTCCGCGGCAGCGGGCTCCCCTGGTGGCCGCGGCTGCGGTCGGTCGGCAGGACGCGCGCTGCGTTTTGTGAGCTCCCGGGCCAGCCTGCGGGAGCCCGTGACCTGGAGCCGGGTCCTCGGCTCTGCGGGGCCGCCGCGCGGAGGCCGCGTGGC